AGCAAAGCCTCAAATAAAGAGAGGCCTTTTCCGGAAAAGCCCTGGAAATACAGCTGTGACACATTATAAACAGTGAGTAATTAAAGGAGTGCTTTGTGTGCATGTACGGACCCAAACTGAGCAAAAGAAAAAGGATTGACAAAGAAAGAACATGAATCAAAATTCTATGGCCCTTTAGTGATGTTTAAACAGCATGTTGATTTGTCTCAAAAATAGGCAAAAATGACTTTAATGACATCAATGTTCAAAGTGTTTTCAGAGCTTCATTGAAACATTTCCTGTAATCTTCAAGACTCTCTCAATATTTGGAAAACTGACCTCCCCTGTGAGTGAGGATTTTGGTTTATTCCTGAAGAATAAGTGGATTATCAGCTTCTGAAAATACTTTTTTTTTCCAGGATACAGTTACTGAGGCAGACGTTTCTATTGGTAGCAAAAGCATACATTTTGACCCAGGTTTAAAAAATACAAAAGACCATAGTTCAGTTATTTAGGCCACAATAATAAAGTTATTAACCGGGCATTAATTGTATTAATCTATCCAAAGCCATCCTAATTACTGGGATTACCATGATATGTAATTCTGTATCCTGACAGAGAAAGGACCTGACTCACAGCCAAATCATCTCACAAGACCTCAGAGACTGACTCATTTATGCTCTACTCATTAACTAGCACTGCTTAGACAGTACAAACAGAGCCATAATGACACACCGACAATGTGATTTCAGTCTGTCCCAATCTGTTATTTGCACTAATAGTATTAATATGTTTATTCAGATGCAAGTGAGGGGAGGTGAGTGCTGGTTGGATTAATTAGTGCCTGAGGGATGTTTTTCCTATACAGAGAGCATAATAGTCCCCTGAAGATAGAACTGTCAAATCTGAGTATCACCTTACCAAACGAAACGCTACAAATGTGGCAGCCTTAACACCCAACAAAGTTAAGATATAGATTATTGATCATTTAGAAGATATACTGTATGTGATGAGTGTCACCATTATGCTGCAAATTCAATCACTGTTTGCTATTTGACATTACATTTAAAGTTAATATATTTAAACGCAACTTCCTCATTACAAATGTGTAATTAGAAATATATTTAAATACATGACATATAAGTTTCAATAAAAATAACATTAAAGTATATTTTAGTTCACCATAAATGATTGTCAGTACATTCTGCACTTTAACCATATTTTAAAGACAATAGAAGTAATTATACAACTTGAGTGGGTCAAAACAGCACTCCAAACATCAGCTGATTGCATTTAATATACATTTAAACTACATGTTCATTTAATTACAATTAACATGCAAATAAGTGTCTGAAAATAATGCATTCAGTTCACACTTGAATAATGTTTTCTGTAAAAGTATGCTAAAGTATACTTCTTTTTCACAAGGCAGCATAATCCAAATAAACAAAGACATACCGATTATTTAATGTCACACAGAATTACCTTCATTTGCAGATATAAATGAATGATCTGTTAAAGTGGATATCTGAAATAAGGTCTTTACACAACCCCAAATTCTGATTAATACAGACATATGACAGCTGTCCTTTTCAGAGTTCTAGAAACTGTAACATTTGCTTAATCTGGTTAATGGCAGTCAGGTTAATGTATTTACATTTACATTTATGTAATTGGAACATGACTATATTCTGGTTAATACTGGAATATTTCTATGTATGTAGTGAGTATCATGCATGTACTCATAGTTTAGATTCTGTATAAATTCAATCAATTACTTATTAAACTAAGTGAAGAGCATCTTACATGAAAACAGTGTTCTCTGTTCAGACTGTGTGTGTGTGTGTATGTGTGTGTGCGCGCGTTAAGGTAACACAGGAGGTATGTGTGTTTGCTTACTCAGCTCAGCGTGATAATGACTGCATTACTGCCTGACAGCATTACGCTTGGTTTTCAAAAGAATTCCTTTAAAAGCCAAAAAGACTTGCTATTCTCACATATGGGGTCGTTTACCCTCCAGTACACACTTTATGGGAACGTGGGAGCAATCCGTAAAGCTATTTTAAATGACAGCATCTGCCTTCCTCTTCAAGTACAAACTCTATGCATTGTCTTTGAATTCTTCATTCTGTGCAGTGTATCTCTTTATGGTGTTCAGCAGATGGTGTCAAACAATGGCTGTGGTGTGGTGTATGTGTCAACGCCACTGGATCAGCCACTGTTTATTTGGGTGTCTGGATCTAGCAGTAAATATCCACAATCATGCAGCACAAGTGAAAATTGGTGACAAGTCACTTCGCCGGCCCACCTGCTCCCATTAAAGTGGCAGAAGGAAATACACAGTCATCTGGTGCTGACAAATGTTGTTATAAATGATAAATGTATCTTTATATTGAACTGAGTAAACTTTATGCTGCATTTGTATGAATATAATCTATGTAAACTTTTTTCCATTCACTATAGAAGTCACTCTAGTGATAGTGATGATGTGCTAACACAACATATACAATATAACACAAATTAGCATTAGTATTGCATTTGAGATAGATTTCACAGAACATAAATGTGAGATTGCTGACTACTCTACAAAGTTTAGACCTCACTTAGGCCTACAGCAGGCTCTCATTAGAGGGCTCCAAAGAGCATATGAATGAATGCAACAACAGTCTTCTATCCTGTAGCGCCTCTAAGTGTCTGAGGCCAACCGTTCAAGACATTTAACAATATACAATCAAAAGTGCACATCCAATGTAGCTTATAATCTATATAAGAAGGTCAGTCCTGAGTTGCCTTTATTGTCTGAAAATAATTTAAACACAACATAATGAATGGGACACATTAGCGAAAACAGGGGTTATCAACCTTTTTGATTCGAAGGCCCTCTATTGTCCAACACAATTTTTAAAGCCTGTTTTTCCCCCTGCCGTTAATATGACAAATCTACTTGTTTTTATTAACAGAAATTGGCAGTGTTGATATATTTAAATAAGTAATAATTAAATAAAAATAATTAATAATTCATAGTAATTCATTTTGTGATTCCTTAAAAATATAACTATAACGTCCAACTGCTTAACCGTATATTTTAATGTTTATTATTGTTATTGTTATTATTATTATTATTATTATTCACTACCTGTGTAAAATAAAAGTAAACAGTAACAGTAAACAGTAAAACAAGTTAGTAACGATCTGGTTTATTATAGCACAGGGGTGCCCAAACTCGGTCCTGGAGAGCCGGTGTCCTGCAGAGTTCAGCTCCAACTTGCCTCAACACACCTGCCTTCAAGTTTCTAGTATGCCTAGTAAGAGCTTGATTGGCTGGTTCAGGTGTGTTTAATTGGGGTTGGAGCTAAACTCTTCAGGACACCGGCCCTCCAGAACCGAGTTTGGGCACCCCTGATTTATCGGATCATAAACAACTTCAAGGAGAGAGGTTCGTTTGCAGTGAAGAAGTCTTCAGGACATCCCAGAGTGTTCTCTCCAAGAAAAAACATCAAGGACAGACTGAAATTCTGCAGGAAGTACAAGGATTGGACAGTAGAAGACTAGTGCAAAGTTATTTTCTCTGATGAAGCTCCCTTCTGACTGTTTGGGACATCTGGAAAATCGATTATTTGGAGAAGAAAAGGTGAACACTACCACGAGTCCTGTGTTGTGCCAACAGTGAAGCATCCCGAGACCATCCATGTGTGGGGTTGCTTTTCAACCAAGTGAGTGGGCTCTCTCATAATTCTGCCCAAAAACACTGCCATGAATAAAGGGGCTAGAGTACTGTCAGTCTGACGATGCCTGTATGTCACTAGATCAGAGTGCTATCAATTGCTGCCTGATTGTTGCATGCATAGTTTGCATTTGGGGCGCTCAACAACACCATTAGATCAGTGGGCTCTCTCAGTGCTTTGGCAAGGTAACACTTTTTTTTTTGCCATGCAATAAAGCTAAGTTCAAAGGCCAATTTAAAATATTGGTACAGTAAATAAAGTGCACAAAATCAGTATTTTGTTTAGGCAGTATTTGTGGCACTTTTGTGGCACATTTGTCCAAAAGGTGTGCGTTTTTTGCGTCAATGCATTGTTAAAGGATCAGCGTGTCATGTAATATTCCCATATAAACTTTAACATCCAATTAAAAAATATTTGAATAGTAAAATTCGGTAATAGGGATTTCGCTAGGGCGTCAAATTGGCTAGAAACGGCCCTGCCTGTGCTGATGAAAAAGGGGTCAATGAATCGCTGAAATGACTTTTAGACACGTCCAGGCGGACTTTAGGACCCAGATTATGGCTAAACTGAATACAATCACATGACCGTCATGTTCAAAGAGGAGAAACGCTGCAAATCTATTGAACAGTGAAAGTGGACCGCTTTATGCAAAATGACAGAACAGAAAAGTTTGAGCAGTTGTGATATTATTTCCTGACACGTTACGATCACGCGCTGCTGTCATAATGTAAAACGGAGGACTGTGACTGCGTCTTATCCGCTTGATTTAGAGATGAAGCCACTAATTACTTTCGTTTTGCTCTGCAGACTGTCCTCCAGACTGTAAATTGGGGCAAAGATCTGTGCAAAAGTCATGTAGTGTATTCCAGCCTTAAGAAAACTTTGTCAATAGAGCATAAATCATATGTTTTTGGTCATTTTTGGACCTTGACAGACCCTGGTCACCATTCACTTTTCATTATATGGAAAAGAGCAGCATGTACATTCTGTTAAAAATCTCCTTTTGTATTCCTCAGAAGAAAGAAAATCATACTGGTTTTGAAAACCATATACATGAGTAAATAATTGTAATAACAGATTTTATTTTTATTTTTTTATTTTTTTGGGGGGGGGTAGACACTCTACTCACTATAAGCAACTTTGCAACTACATGTCAACTAACTTTCATTCACTTGCATTTACAGTAATTGTCAATAAGGCTCACCCATACTAGCTAGTATTTGTAACCAGCACCTTTTGAATCACAAAACAGACGTCCATTCTATTGAAATAATAATAATATGTGTTTGTTTTCAGTTTCGTGATATTCCAGTTGGTCCCATGCCACCAGCCACCCCAAAGTTCGCTTATGGCTTTGTTACACTTCAGAAGGTATGGACGTTTCACATAGCAAAACCTTATTCATTTGCAA